GGGAATTTTTATTCCTCCTTGGATTTGAACCTGAGACCTCCTGGTACTTTTGATCTTTGAAATCAAGCTTAAACCAATCAAGCACCACCTTTGTGGTTCGAACCATATTTTAACATATGGAAGAAATTTCGTGGTATGTGTAAATTTCAAATTCAAATTATCATACCATTGAAGTAAAATATAATAATAAACACCACCGTTCTTTTTCAAACAATTATATATAAATATATATATATATATATATATATTTATTATTATTTTTAATATAAAATTTTTAATCAAATTAAAAAAATATGTATAAGCTATTTAATAATCGTATAATTTAAAGTTTATAATTAAGATCATTGATTTTCTATTTTATGGATAATAATATTAATCAGGAAATTTTCTTACAAAAGTTTAACCTTCCGTACGTTTAACACTGTTATTTTAATAGTAGGGGCATAAATTGTAAACTTTAAATGGAAAGAAGGGCAAAAGTGAAATGGAAAGAGAGAGAGATGGCGCATTGGTAATTTATCAAAAATTAGAGGGGTGTAATTATAAAATTTAAATGGCCCATGCAGGTCTCGAACCTGCGACCTTCGCGTTATTAGCACGACGCTCTAACCAACTGAGCTAATAGGCCATTGCTTCCAATTCGTACATATATTTATAAAAGTCTTACACATATCAACCACTGAATCATCTTTTATTCGTTCTACAAAAAAATTATCCATGGAAGATTTGTTTTTTGTATGAATTTTGAAAGGTTTTGTGGCTATCGTGTGAAGAAGCTTATAATTCGCCATTTGAAGTCGATATGTTGTTTCCGGTAAGTTGATTAATATCACAACTTCTGTTTATAAGTAAAACGAGATTTTGTTCATAAGAAGCAACCGTTTTGTAATTAAATTGAAATTTCCACTGTTGATATTATAGATCATATCGGTGCGTAATTGATGATCCAACTCCCTGGATTTGATAGCTTCAATGGAGGTACAAATCATATATTCAATTTGACCGGCTTGGTTACTTGTTGACAAACCGCTCGATTTGAAAATTTTCTTAAACACCATTATGGTTTTGGGGGGTGGGTGGGGGGTTAAACCGCCCAACCAGTCCGCGAACACCCTTAATAGAGATTGGCGATTGGTAGGGGTAGAGAGTACATAGACGATTGGGGAAAGATAGTCGGAGGAGTCATGACCGGGGTGACAAAAGGGAGAGGGGGAAGGGAGAAAGAGAGAAGGAGACAAGGTGCTCGGATCGACAAGGAGGGGTTGCCACAAGTGGGTCTTCACCGTTAGGGATGATGCAGCAGAACGGGAGCCCAGTGGGGGAAGGGGAGAGGAAGGGTTTGAGTGGGAGGAGGACAATGTCTTATATATATATATATATATATATATATATATATATATATATATATAGGTGGAGGTTCAAACGAGAACCCCTGTGATTTACGAAAACGCGAGGACAACCCAATAACCTCAAACTTTTTTAATTAATAAATTAACTTTTATTATATATAAATAATTTAATAAGGGCAGCAGGGGCGGATCCCTATAGGGGCCTTTGGGGGCCATGGCCCCCCCGTTTTTATACATAAATACTATAACTAAAGTATTAAAAACATAAACATTAAGTAGCTTAGTTGGCAATGTTGCTCAACCTGCATACTTGAGGTTGCTGTTTCAAATCCCATCCCAATCAATTTTTTTGAACTTTATATAAATTATTAATGTTTAATTATATATATTAGTTTTTATATAATATATAATTATATGTAAATATAAGTTTTTAAAGTAAATTACACCGGTATTACTATTTCTCGGTTAATACTTTGAATATTTAAGTTTTTAGAGTAAATAATATAATATATTAATTATATGTAAATAATGTTTAAATTGGTATTACTATTTTTCTATTAATACTTTGAATGTTTCGAGTTTTAATATTACATTAATCAATATTTTTCTAAAATTTAATAGTCTAAAAACAAATCATTTAGATTTACAAATTTTTACAATAATATAGCATCTTCAACATATTCTTCAAAAAATTTCCAAAATGGATAATTAAAACTCTATTAAAACCAGMCTCGAGCTCCCCGCCCCAGCCAATCTCCCATTGGCAGGAAAGTCGTTTCGATCCAATCCATTCTTGGGATCAAATAAATACAAAAAATGATATGTTTTCTCTCATTGTAATCAATTTTTGTTTACACTCTCTCATGTTTTCTCCGTTTTGGAGAATTTTGGAGAGTCTGTTGTAGCAAAAATATGCATAAAATCTCCATTTTCTCAATTTTGAAAAATCTATTGAAGATGCTCTTATATTTCGGCCCCCCGGACTACAACGGTTGTGTTCCGCCCCTGAAGGGCAGTAATATAATTAAGTAATTTTTATAATTTTTATTTTATTTTAATTAATCATGTTTATCCTTTCATGTTTCCACGTCTGTTAGTTTTCTTCTTCTCCTTCATTCATGCTTCTCCTTCATTCATGTGTATTCTCCTTCTCGTTMATCATAATCTGCACATAGTCGATGGGTTAACATCTTTTCTTCATTTCGGTAGTGTCCATATTTTTGTCTATCTAAAATGGACGACTTGCATGTTGTTGGTAAGGAAGTTTGTTCAGGATCAAGTTATTCGAACGACGATTCTGTGGGCTTTTCTCAAGATTGTTTTCTTGAAGACAGCTTTTTTGAAAGTAGTTCTGATAACGACGAGGAAGGTTCGATGTGATAACATTAAAATATGTCATCAATTTTCATGAATGGTTTTTTGGGGTTTTTATCACATGTGATAAAAAGTAGAAGGACTTGTGAATGTAAACATTTTTTGCCCATTTATTGTTTTTGGTATATGTTGATTTGAGTTTAATGTTATTCTACTGTTGGAATTGAAAATTTTGATGTTTATCACATGTGATAAACATTTAAATTGAAAAGTTTGATGTTTTATCACATGTGATAAACCAGATGTTTATATGTATGTGGATACTGTTTGGTTCGTTTTCCATTAAATTTATGTAAATGATGCAACAACAACTGCTTTTGACACCCAAAATGTTGATGACATCGACTTACCAGTGATCACAGGAGCTGTGATAATGGTGTGATAGATGTGATAATGGTGTGATAATAGACATATGATTGATGCTAGTAAATAATGTAAATCAGCAAGTGAAAAATGACAGCTATTTTTGTAATCAAGATGGTTAATTTCACCTTCAACTTGTAACACCAAATCAATGATTATAATTGTGATATCTATGTAAGTGAGAATTTTGGATGTTTATCACATGTGATAAACATCCCATGTGATAAACAACAACTGCTTTTGACACCCAAAATATTGATGGCATCGACTTACTAGTGATTACATGAGCTGTGATAATGGTGTGATAGATGTGATAATAGACATTCCCAAATTGTGTCTTGATATTACATGAGTATCACAACTAATCGATTAAAAACTTATTCAAAACGAGTAATTTTGAAAGATATTTTGAATTTGTCCGCTTGTTGCATGCAATGACTTCTCGATTAGGGTTCTTGGTCGATTACGGTTGCGTGTTCTTGGTTATTACCGTCGATCAACACCGTCGCCGTCCGTAGTTCTTGCGATTTGAAGTTAGGCTTGTAATCGTAACCGTTTTGTAGATGATAATGATAAGTTTAAAAGATTTTGATTGTGTTTAATGATAAGTTTAAAAGATTTTAACTGTTTTCTAGATAATATGTCATTTCCATTATTACCCTTTTAATTTTAAATTTTTTGAATCTTTTTAAATTTTAAGTTTAATTTTAAAAATCTTTTAATTTTATTTTTTATCACAATATGTGGCTATTGAGTTGTTCTCGTGTTTTCGTAAATCACAGGGGTTCTCGTTTGAACTCTTCCCTATATATATATATATATATAGAGAGAGAGAGAGAGAGAGAGAGAGAGAGTTGGGTCCCGGTGAGAGTTGGTACACGTGAATTTAAGTTTTTTTTATTAAATTAAATATTTTTTGGTTTTAAGTTATTAGTTCTTTTATTATGTTGTGGTTTTTTTTGTATTAAATTAAATTTATTTTGGTTTTAGGTTTATTGAAAATGTTTGAGATTTAAACATGTATGGTCTCTCATATAGTTAATTTAAAATAACTTACATAAACGGAAAAAAATCCCCATTTATCCGTCGGGGATCCCCATTCTTTGTTGGGGATCCCATTCCCTGTTGGGGATGAGGATGCGATTATATTCCCCGGCGGGAATGAGGACAGAAACGGGGATAGAAATAAGTAATCGGGGACGGGGATTAAGGTTTCCGCCCCATACCTATGTCTAAAGGGAAGAACTCAAATGCATAATGAAAGTCTCATTTTCATATTTATTTTGGTTTTAAATCTTTGGCAATACAAAATGTAAATCACATGAACAAAACTATAATTCACATTTCGCTTTTTTAATAGACGAATGGAAGCAAAAAAAATATAATCAAAATGTTGTAGCATTGTAATCATATATAATGCATTTATTATTTTTAAACCGAAAAAAAAAAACAAAATAATATCAAAAGACCAACCAAGTCGACCATCTTAAATATCGACCAACATATATTCTAAATGTTATTCGATCCACTCATTTTTGCCAACTGTAACAGAATTCGGCCAAAAGTAGGAACAACTCTTGTTTTGTGGTGTAGCATCCATCGTAAGCTTTATATAAAATGGTTAATGGTAGGTCCTTAACATCGTAAGCTTTATATAAAATGGTTAATGGTAGGTCCTTAACATCGTAAGCTTTATATAAAATGGTTAATGGTAGGTCCTTAACAATCTATTACAAAAAGTAAAACCTTGTATTAAATTGTCACTTTCTATACTAACCAAATTTGGATTAATATAACCAAGATTTATATATTTATTGATTCAGATTTCAATGTAGACTTTTATTATTAACAAGAAGTGAAATAAAACTTCAAACTTTAGCGAGTAAATAAAGAACAATCAGGACACGAAACGATGGAATGCAAACTAATGGTGTTGTTCTAATTAAATAAACAAAGGGGTCTCAAATTACATATGGAGTCTCAATCACACACCTCAAATGAAAGAAAGGAAAGAAGGATTGATATACAAAAACACCTTATTATTATAATACAATACAACACAAGGTGTTGGATTATATTAAGCCGATCAATGCCCAGACGGGGAAGACGAACAAGAGAACGATACCGATTGTGTTGGAAATGCCGTTGCTCTTGGTGAATGCATTCCTGAAACCTCCGGAAGCTCTGATGTGTTCTTGGAGAAGATAGCACCCGATTGCTAGACAGATAATCACGCCTATCCACCCTGCTCTTACATACCCAGCTAAGAAGCTCGGAGCTACCACTACCAAAAGGACCAGAGATCCCGGCAACTCCAAATAATCTGCATTCAATCGTTCATTCATAAGAACGATATCAATCGCAACTCTAAACAGAAACAGATCTATTTAGATCGCAAAAAAGGAAAACCATTAAATTGGGGGTAACTTTACCTGGAAAATGATTAGGGAAGAAGAGACGCAATATAACTCCGACGACGGTGATCCATTTCCCGATGTCTCCTCTGAACCAAGAAACAAAACAAAACTATGTTTAAAATATGAACAACGATGAACAGAGAGGTACGATTCCATCTGCTTCTGATATTATACCTCAAAATTCCGAAGAGCCAATTAGGAAAGGTTAAAAAGATGTAAGGGACCAAGAGTGAAGTGAGCATATTCGTCCTCCAGTTTGTTCGATCCAGTACCAGCAAATAACTGTAGCATAACAAGCAACAATTAACAATTAACAATTAAGATCCAATCAAAATCAATTAAACAAACAGGAAGAAGGTTGTAAGAAACCGTTGATTTTACTTACATGGCGGAAAAGCACGCGAACCATTGAAGGATGGTAGTAATCAAACCACCGCTGACTCCGAGCTTGATGACATGATCAGCCAGTTTCTTGGTGGCATCTCCGATTTCTTTCAAATCTGAATTGATCAACTTGGATGTTGCTTCTGATATAGTTGGATCAGTGGGCATCCTCAGGTAATTCTTTACCCCCTTCATCATGTTGCTCAACTTTCTTTCCGATCCTAGATGAATCTGGAGGACTGAAACGTGATTTCAAAAATGGGATCTGTGGAAGAAGCGGAAGACCCGACGAGCATAAATAGGCCCACAGATATTTACTCTCTCTTGATATCAAAATAAGAGTGAATTACATTTGGTCCCTCTACTTTACGGAAATTACAGATTGGAACTCTAAACTGAAATAATTACGAAAATCGCTCCTATGTGATATGCATTGCATTTTATTATGATTTGGTCCTTCACTTTAACTCTATTAAAAAAATTATATTAACTTAAGGGCATTTTGGTCTTTTATCTTTTTTTCTCGGATGAAGGCCCCTCCTACTTCTCTAGTAAACCCCCTTCCTCAAGGCTTTCCCTTGCAGGACTCTCGACATTTCTTTTTCATGTCAACGTACGTGATGTTGTTCATGATGCAAAGTAATGTACAAAGCTGACCCAGTTGACGTCTTTTCTTCCTCACCTCTTTTGGTTATTTGGGTTTGACATTTACAATGAACAAGAGCGGCATGTTGCAATAAAAGCAAAATGCGGTGGTGACGTGGTAACAACGTCATAACAGGTAATGGTTCATGACCAATGTTAAAGCCTAGATATGGGTTTAGGATGTTTGGTGTTCACATCTCTGTTGATCAAGTACAACAAATTGTAAACGGGAATGAAAATGGAGGAAGTAGCAACAACCTACACACCAAGTTACGTATGTAAATATCCAATTTCAAAAACTTATATATGAGAAATAATAATAAAAAAACTCATTTTTCATTCTTAAATAATTATTTTTAGAAAGTTTTTTCATACCATCTTTATTTTATAAAAATATATTAAAGTAAAAGATTAATCTAAAAAAATTGAAACAACTATATTAAACTTTTATTTAAAATAAAGATAAAAATAAAATGATAAAGAGTTTCTAAATTTAAAATAAGATAAAAAATATAGTTATGGAAGATGGTTTACTTTATACAATTGATAACGGCACGTCAATAAGATATAGATAAGCATTGTCGACGGAAGGAGCAGGACCAGTGAATCTTTGCCAACTGTCCTACTTAGACAGTCGACCTCTCCAGCCACCTGTATTATTATTTAACATGGGCGGTCTTTCTCATAAACTGCTATACCCCATTTGGATCCCTACTAACCACTTTGCTTATCCATTTTCTCTTTAAATATATGTATAATTGTATATTATTATTATTATTATTATATATAATCTTTTTGATTGACCCATTAATTTAATAATATTTTCTGCTTCGTTTCTGACAATTTTTAAGTACGAGAATTTTTCAATATATTGTTTTTATTATTAAAAATAGCAGTGAAATCATATATAATCGTTTTTTCGAGTATTTTTAAACGTATAATTAATCAATAATTATTTCTAATTAATATTATCTATTAAAATATTTGTATGTAACATTATCAATTAGTTCGTTCATCAAAAACATCTTATGATTTATTTCCGGTACATAGAATGCCATCATTTGGGCTCACAATGTTAATTCTTCTGATTTCCAAGTAATATTATGTAAATCAATGTAAATATGTTGGTTTTTCTTGTCACTTCGTGTTAATATTTTTTAACACCGTTTTAAACTTTTGTACAATATTCTCGAATTTGGGAAGGAAAAAAAAAAAGAATGAGAAATGAAAAGGGAAAAGGGAAAAGGGAAAAGGGAAAAGGAAAAAAAAAGTTTTTTATTTGTGTTTTTTATAAAGAAGAGAGGGGAAGAAAAATAATGAAATAATTTTTTGTTATATAATTTATGTTTTCTTTTCCTTTCCTTAAAAAAGATCTCGAGAACAAAATATTTTTCTTTCCTTATTACTTTCTTTTTTTTTCTTTCAAAAAGAAGACTCAAGAATATAACGTTAGGGTTAAAACAAACTTTTCTGAAATTATCAATCTTATAAATAAAAAATGTATTTTGGTTATAGTTTCATTAGTTTGAGATTTTAGTTTTCTTTTAGAGATAGAATAGTACATAAATTTATGTATTCAATATTAGGTAATAAAAAACAAGTATGGAAAAAACAATTATAGTTTTATTGTTCTAAATATAGATATAAGTTGTACCGTCTTATATGGTTGGTAATTTTTACAAAAGATAGGGGTTTTTGTTGGTTCATTGAGGGTCTACAAGATAAGTAAAACAATTTGTAGAATGGGTGGGGGATGAATACAAACACAATATTTTCAAATTTAAAATGTATATTGATAGAGAAGATCAATACAAATTTTACAAGACTGTTTGCAGAAAGATAAGGTAAAAAGTCTATCTAAACAATCTTTGGTTACACTTGAATTCTTAGCAAATGAGAAAAGAAATGCTGTAAAAAAAAGTTCTTTTACTTATGCTCGAAAATGCTCAAAGTAAGAATTATGTTTAGAGAGTGAGTTGCGCACACTCTGCATGGAGAAGAAACACTTCTATTTATACCCAATGCATTAAATGTTCATTTAATGCAATATGGTAGGGTTAGAGTATGTGTCAAGCTTTAAGAGGAAGGTTTGTCCTTTACTACAGTGAATAGTACAAAAAACATTATTCATGAGCAGACATCCTTACTTAAAATTGGTGGGCAATAGAGTCAACTAGTCGGCTCCGTACCGTACTAACTATTAGAAAGGGTATGGTTTTATCATTTGTATGCATAAGAACAAGACAACAATAATCGTATTAAGCAAGCTTCCTTTGATCGCTGAATGATGGAATAACCTGGAGGTTTCTTCGGCATTCGCTGAGGCTTGAGCAGTCTTCACACATATGTAGACAGACTTGTAATCACTGAGTACCGCTTCAGATCACGTACTTGCCAGTTTCTAATCTTCAGTTTCAGTCTTCGACATTGGTTGAAGGTTCTTTGGTGTGAGTGTTGTCTTCTTGAAGTATAGTTGTCTCTAATTGAATTACAATACAAGTTCTTCAGCGATCACTGAACAGGTTCAGTGATGATCACTGGAACTGAAAAGACAGGAACATAACTACAACGTATAAATGAAAATGGATTATCATCAAATCACTAAGAGAGATGATCAACAGTTTTATTAGCTAATAACAAGAAAATCTACTATATTTTAACACAAAAATAGAATCCATGTGAGGATGGAAGAGTCAAAAGAGTCAATCGGAGATGAATTATGGATATTGTATTAAAATTCTCGAGGCAAGTAGTTTTCGACGTCAGTATTAGATACAAAAAAAACTTAGAAACATTAAACAATATTATATAATGAACAACAAATTAACTTTTTTATGTTTTTTCTTCTACAATATATTTAATTACTACATGTTTGAGTCTTTAATAGTTAATGTAGTACCAAAATCTTTTATGTACCTAATATATTAATTTTTTATATCTTTTATATTTAATAATTTTTTTATAATTACTATTATATATACTAAAAAAATTTGGACCCCTAATTTTAATGGGCCTTAAGCATACGCCCGACCTACCGTCGAATCGCCTTAAATATTCCCTCTATTATTCATCAATTCTTTCTTATTTCCTATTCAATATTTATGACACGTATATGATATCAATTCGGATATGCACAAATGAATATCCAAATCCATCTTTAAAGCATATGTTTTAGTAGATATCTGAATCAAACCAAAGTAGATACAAAAGATAAGTATATATTGAATTACATACGAAAGAAAATAAACCATTTTAATTCATTACATTATTCTTTATAATATTTTAATATAAAACTAGTTTTTTTTTTCCATTTCGTTATTACTATTTCTTATATTCTGGTTTTTTAGTATCCATTGAAGAAGGAAATAACGAAAATAGTACATTTGGTGTAAATTTTGGTGTCTTAAATGGAGATGATAGTAAGATTTAGGGGTTGTTTACTTAAATGCTTACCCGGTAAGTATTTACCGTTATAAGTCAATACTATATTTTATTTTATGGATAAGATCGTAATACATCAAAATGAATGATATGCGACAATTTACTTGGTAAATACTTACCCGGGTAAGAGTCATTACCCTCACTTACCGGATAAGACTCTCTATCCTTATAATTACGCTTACATGGTAAGCTTCTAAGGTCTTGTCGTGTTTATCAGATGAGAAAAATTACTCGGTAAACACCTACCGAGTAAGCATTTAATAAACTGCCGCTTAGCCATTCAAGTATGCTATTGTCACTCATCCAACTTCTTTAACAATGACACAAACTATTTGCCATAAAAAAATTTAATTACAGTTACAGAATTAATATAATACATATATGAAAAAATCGGATCTATTCTTACCAACATTGTTGGTACGACGTATGCAACTGCCAAGATTGCTTGAACGAAGCATACAAAGTTGATTACGATGAAGATATTCCCCAAAAGGGTTCTCAACGAAAGTTAAAGACAAGATATGAGGCAGGAGATCCAGCTGTTGGACTCAATGATTTACACTTAAGGTTTTATTTATTCCATCATCATTAACTATCAAAAATAAAACTAAGCGTTGATATAGTATTATGGATTTAGTTTTCTAATAACCATGCCATCCGATGACACATCGAGTCAAAAAGAGTGACAATTTTAGACTTGATGTTTTTTTCACTGTATTGGGAGAGTTGAGTAATGGCACGGGACATACCCCTAGCCCGTACATGAATCCGCCCAAAAGTACTGGATAGCCTGGTTTTAACACAATTTATCCATGTCCTAATTGATCGTGGAGTTGAGATATGGGTCGGTAAAACGTAACACAAAATTTTGACATTTTATGAAACAAATCTTAACATAATTGTATGGAAATTTAGCATTTAGTGAAACTCATTGGAATCAATGAAGAAACTGTGCACGATGGTGCTAGATTATAATGCATAATCGGTCATTTGGGCAAGTCGACTTGACACATTAAATTATGTTTTTACTATGAAAATAAATAAACATATTATTGAGAAAATATTTGTTCTGCTTTCACACTTCTTTTGTATATAGTTGTTAACATAAAATGTAACGAATGTTGCTCTTAGTTCCTATTTTGTGTCACAAATAGTTTTTATTATCAAGAAAATGAATGTTACA